AACAGATGGGAAAACTGCCATGTGAAGCAGTTTGGTAGCGCTTGGGCCAGGAAGTTCAGTTTTGAACCTATCAGGTTTGGTAGACATGGGATTTCACTCTGAAATAGACCTCACATGAAGTCATATAGATCTCTTTTATAAATTAATTAAAAAATCAATTGTTGAATTCTTTGGTTGGGAGATAGTATCTATTCTTAATAAGTTTATTTATATCAGTTATTATTATTACAAGGCTTTAGAACGGAGATAAAATGGTCACATTCTTCTTATCCTAAATATTTCCCCAAAGATTGCAAATTAAAGAACAATTTGTACATACCACATGAAAAACTGAAAACCCACAAATTGCAAGATTACTTTATAAGTGTTGAGAACTAACCATATAGCATATATTTTAAAGGATTCATTTATTTTCTAAATGTGATACCTTCCATTTCAAACATATTATTGGTCAAATATTTGAATATCATAATAAATTTCCAACTAGATTAAAGTCAGAAAATAAATGGTAAAGTCACTTAAGAGTTTCCTACTTTCAAAATTATCCTAATTTTTAAAAAAGTGCCAGAACTTTAGCAATGACCATCATTTTTGGCATCATGAAGACAAGAAAATAATCATTTCCTAAAAGACCAAGAACACCTTCTTTTTCACTATTGCTGTAGAAAGCCTCCAGAAGATGTTTTTGCTGACCAAGTAACATGAATTAATACCATGATCTAATCTTAAGGGAATAATTCTCAGCAGATGTGGAAGAGAGAGACCAGACTCCTGTCTGCATTTCATTTAGAAGCTATTCTTTCCAGGTAGGATATCCCACCCCTTAGCCCAAAATACCATTTTGTAAAGTTAAACGATGAGTTTTTACATTATTGCTTACATAGATTAATTCAAAGAAGTATCATTACAACCTTGCTCCCTTTTTTCTAAGATTTGGAAATTTTTTTGAATTGGATATATGAATAACTTGGTGGGGTGGGTAGACAAGCAGGATAAAAATACATGTAAGGCAAGTAGTTTTGGAAAATTAGTTACAAACTTGTCATAAAAATATAGAGTGTAGATATTGCTAGAGCTCAAAACTTGACCAAATTATTAAATAATCACATAAAGTAGAAATATGCATAAGGATAGTAATACTGGTAAAGGGTTAAAACCTTTGTATGAACCGGGTGTGGTTGCATACGCCTGTAATCCCAGTGACTTGGGAGGCTGAGGCAGGAGGATCACAAGTTCAAAGCAAGCCTCAGCAACTTAGTGAGGCACTTAGCAACTCAGTGAGACCCTGTCTCTAAATAAAATATTTTAAAAAGGGCTGGGGATGTGGCTCAGTAGTTAAGCACCCCTGGGATCAATCCTTAGTAGCAAAACAAAACCCTTTTTATGAGCTCTTTAGTGCTGATGCCAACAGTTATGCCAAGCTTGTTATGGTTTGGATATGAGGTGTTCCCCAAAGCTCCTGTGTTAATGTAGGAATCTTTGGAGATGGAATGATTGGATTGTGAGGGCTGTAACATAATCAGTCCATCCTTGTTTGAATGGACTAACTGGTAGTAACTGTAGGCAGGCGTGGCATGGCTAGAGAAGGTAGGGTTTTGGGTACGCACCCTGGAAGGATTCCTCTTTCTTGTGGCCCTTTTCTGCTTCTATCTCTTTTTCTTGGCTGCCATAAATGGAGCAGCATGTTCTTTCACCATGACATGTTACCTCACCTTGGGCCCAGAGCAGTGGACTCAGCTGAGCATGGATTGAACCTCTGGAACTATGAACCAAAATAACTTCCCCTCCTTTGAGTTTTCTTGTAGGGTGTTTTGGTCACAGTGATGACCAAAGCAAAGCTTTTAGCCAGAAGTGAAACCTAATGAGGGAAAAGAACAAGCTGTATACTGGAGCCACCTTTGGTCACTTGAGATCTGTAATGGTGAGGGTACTCAATACCATGGAAACTGGCAAATGCTGTAGTTCAGGCAAATCAGGGTCTTCCCTCCCTGCCTTCCTTGAGCTGGTTTACCATACCTTTCCACAGGGATCAGTGACACTTTTGGCACCTGTGACAGAGGTAGTTGGTCACCTATACCTTTGGTGAGAGGGGGCGGTTTGGGACTATTTCTACAAACAGGACTTTTAACACCCATCCTAGTAAGATCTGGTGTTTTACTGCCTCTCTTGGAATTCAAATTTAAAGTTCCTCTTGGAAAGGATTTCTCCACAATGTGGTTCCTGTCTCACTTCTCTTCATTAAAAGCTAAATGAAGAAAGGAGATAAAATACACTTGGGACAGAAAAACTTCCTGCTTTCTAGTAAGCAGAAACGGTGCCTCCTGATAAACTGTTCAGTTACTGGAAGAGAGTCACAACCATAGAGAAAGCATATCTGCTCTTGTTTTGTGAATGACAGTGTTGAAGAATGTAACCCCTCTTAACTTCTCTACACCCCATACATACAAATTGCTTATACTGATAACAACCCTCAATGGTAACTCACTTCACACCTCCGTTTTCTTTCTTGTTATCACCAAGATTAAACAATGTGTTTAGGCAATATTCTGCATTTATCTAACCTTTTCCATACAGGCCACACTGACACAGCACAAAAGGTTTATGTACCTCACACCTCAGATCTTATCAAGAAACTTGGTAGTGACAGTTTGATAAAGACAGCCACCATAGCTTATTAAACTTGTTCTAAAAACAACAGCAGCAAACCACTCATCTCCTCACACTTTTTAATGACCTTGTTCTATGGTGTCCCCATTTTTAGATGCATTACTGACTGTGTGGCCTCAGAGGATATAGAGAGCTGAGGGCATGTGATGATGTGCATGTGGATATTACACTATTAAAAATTCTAGAGAGATCTGTATTTACTTCAGTTACTTATTGAGAAAAGAAAAGTCAAAGGTTTTAACTTTCACCTTGCCAAAAGTTTTAATCAAAGTGAAAGAAATGTCTTGTCATAGAATGAGAACAAAAATAGCCCAAAGTTGCTTTTCTTTTTGCTCTCCAGAATATTCAGCATTGTCAGACAATGAGTCTCAAGATAACGTTCTCAGAGCAGGATATAAAAAGAAAAAATAAACCGAAATATATAATTACAGTAAAATTTAAAGGCTAATTTTTAAATATGTTTTTGTATTTTTTATAGTTTTGGATTTCTGTTTTTTTGTTTTTTTTATTTGCAATTAATTCATTTGGCCCAACCATATTCCTGTGATATTTCCAAAGACTTTACTGTGGGCAGATAAAATACAACATTTAACAGGTAATTTCTGTTCTTCCAAAAAACCCCACTATTGCTAACATTGTTAAATTCCTAGTGACTTTTGTTATCATGATGAAATTATTCTGTTAAAAGTCTAATCTCTAGAACTTCAGAGTAGGTTTAAGTAAGATAAGGAACATTTTACCAAACTGAGGTTTCAATTTTGTCTATTATTTTTTAAAACTACAAATATTGATCTCTGACTTATGCCTTAGGTCTGTGGATCTCTCATTCTTGGGATAATACTGCATTGGTAAAGGTGGTTGTATTTGAGAAGGAATGACTGAAAAATGTACAGCGTATTTTAATACAGGCTCAGTGGTAACACAGTTTATAATAACCTCAAAGACTGTGAATTCGGAAACTAAAATTCTGAATATCTGAAATGAAATTGATAATACAACCTTTGTGGTGAGGGGAAGATAGAGTGCACTCCTAAAGGTGCTTATTTTTGGGTGGCACTGAGTATGGTCACCTACATTTGAATTAACTGCCATCAAACCAGAACACCCCTATTATCTCCCTCACCTTTTCTTTGAAACTTTCTCCTTCCTGAAGCAAAAAAGAAAAGTTATCAATACTGGGAGTCCTCCTGTCTTCTCACCTCAGGTTATAGATATAATTATCAAGAAAAAAATGATGAAATATTTCAGGCATTTCAAAATGTGTATAGAATGAGAACTAAGTACCAATCATCTAGCTTAAGAAATAAAACCACACACTAGTGAAGCACTTTGTATTTCTCATTTTCCTTAGCAAAACCCACTGTTTTCATACTTTTGCTACATATTATACATGTATAAAAAATATATAATGATGTTAGGTTTCAAATTGTTACATAGCTGGTTTCCTTTATTCACATATTTTAAAGATATGCTAATATTCATAGTTTCTGATTATTGACTTTTACCTCTATAAATTATTCCATAGTGTGGTATACAACTATCCACCATCTGGATGATGCTTCAAAGGACAGCTTAGTATCTTCTAGTTTCCTTGAGCAATGTTTGAAAATTTCTTTAGGGTACAGGTTCATGATCATCATATTTTGAGCACCGAACATACATATCTTTAACTTCACCATACACTGCTAATCTCCAAAGCAGCTGAAAAATCAGCAGAGAGGGAGGGTGGTGGTGGGTAGTAAGGTAAATGTTTGTATTTTTAACATGTCTGCCAGGGCTGCTGCTGCTGTAGTGTTTCAACTGGAACAACATTTTGAAAAACTGTGCTTACAGAAAGCCTATTGGATTACATTTTTTAAAAAGATTTTTAAAAAGACTGTTTGTTGAAAGATCTGATAAGACACTATCTGAAAAGATGAGGCTGGTAAGGTTTTATTAGGTGAATGAAATTACCCTGTGGTATAATTGTGGCATTCAAATTCTAGAACAGATTAAATATAGATAATATAAATACCCAAAATGAATGATTGTCATCAAAGGTAAAATTCTCAACGAGTTCTACTGCCAGAATGAGACTTGTGCATGTGCCCCTGCTATTATTTGCTGAGAAGAACAGAGGAGTGAGCAGGTGGCATGGTGTCAGCCTGGGGTGTTTGGTGAACTTGGCTGACAGTAGGTAGAGTGTTAGTCTTGACTGCATCCATAAAACCTGGGTGTTGGCCTAGATGGAGGTGTGAACATTCATTTGAGGGTTCCTCAAGATTTAACATATGAAGCTACTGAGATTTACAGGTTTGGCTATTTTTTAGATATTTGTATGCAAAACATTCCACTGATATTTATATTATTTTTATTATATTTTACAGTTTTTAAGTTATATTCCAATGTTAGGGCCAGGGAGGTTTCCCTCAAATATTTTTTCTGCAAGAAATTCTTATAAAAAAAAAATCTTGAAGAGAAAGCCTTCACATATTTCAGGGAAAAAGGGTTTAAACAAGTTTGTACAGTTTGCAAATGCTTAAGGTATAAACTGGAAAGAAACAGATTTTATTTCAGATTTAACAATATAAAAGGTCAATTAGGAAAAAAGCATGTACCAGTAACCAAAAACATTTGCTTACATCATTCCACAATTTACCAAACAAGATAATCCTTTTCTAAAACCAGACAATAGGTTCAAAAATACTTTCACACCCCTAATTGATGCTGTTGGGAACAATGGCCACTACAAGGCCATTTATTGCAGGTACCTTTCCAGCATGTTCTGGTTATCATTACTCTCATTTTATCTTCTTTCTTTTTTCTCTCTCATCAGCTTTTTGCTTTCTTCCCTTCTTCTTTTATTCACTGGATTCCGAGGATCATAGATTTCAAATGTGTCTGAGTCTTGCATGCTTGCATCTTTTACTTTTCTGCTTTTATCCTCAAACTGAAGTACATGTGACATCCTAAAGGAAAGAGAGGGTTCAGTGATTTTGGTATGAGAACTGAAAGTAGAAATTCTACACTCCACTATCACCAGCACAATGAGCTATAAGGGTATGGAATACCAAGACAGAGTTATTGTTTACTGGTGCTTATACTGCATGGAAAGCAACTTCTCAGAAAACACTTAAATTTGAAAAACATGCTCAGAGTTTGTTCCACTGGCTTGTATTTCTAGTAGTGAGTGTCTCTGCCATGGTCTTTACTTGAAGTTCCTCTCCTAGCAAGAGGTTAAAAAGAGTTTTAACCCAAAGTATTCTTCAAACCATGCTCAAAGAACTCTGCTTCCTTTGAAAAGCACACTCACTAAACCAGATAGAGCCAGGTTGAAGAGCAAAATGCTAGATAATAAATCAGTTCTATCTGATTTTGTTTTGTTTTCAGTAGTTCAATGGGTCAATATTAGGGGACACATTATGAAAATATAAGTGATATTCAAATGTTATGACTGTCTTTTCTGGGGAGTAGCTAGGTTAATATTTTTTTTTTTTCATAAAATGAAAATCAAACTTATGGCATAACTACCCGGACTTATTTTCTCCTTTTACCATTGATTACAACAAATCTAACCATCCTGTTTTCCTACTTTAACAAATGCTTACTGGTCTTAAGGTATCAACATGTACTTGAATCCTAAGTGGTCATAAGCTGGCTATCCTTAGTAGCAGGGAACTGTGTAAGTTACTAGATATGCCCCCAGTAGAAGGTGTCAGGAATAAACAGGGAAGTCAAAAGAACAGATTTCTAGGCAGTTGAATGAATTTGGGAAGAGAAAAGTTCAATCTTTATATAAGCAAAAAAACTGTTAAGTTTTTTTCCTTCTAGTTAAACAAAACCATCCCACATGCATGTCTCTTCATCCCAGCAGATAGAACTAAGCTGCCTATAGGGTTAATATTCTGTATATACCATTGTAATTCTCAGATGAAACCCAAATATGATATTAATTTCTTTTACTTTACAAGCAGAGATTTGGGCAGTAGATGCTAGCAAAGATCCCCTATTCCCCCGCCCCGCATAGTAGCACAAAAGACGAGTGGCATTTATTTGTGTGTCAAACTCCTATGGATATACCCAGATTTTGAAGAAGCCTAACAGAGATATTGGGACGGAAATAAAGTGCTACAATATTCGTGATGCTACCATTTCTAAGGGTTCAGGAGCTGCTGAAGGGCTGACAAGTTGAAGCTTCTGTGCCATTCCCACACCTTCTATTCCACTTGAGGAGGCTTATCAGAATGCAGTGAGTATGAGTGGTATGTGGATGACCTAGAATCTACTTTACAAAATGAGGTAAATCACATTTACATTTTTATATTTTATATTAATATTATTTGCATCAAATTTCATAACTGTTCTCAATACACGAACATGTATGTCACCCATGAGCGCTGATTTTTTAAACTTCTGTTGCTTTAGTAAATACCCTTACTTAGAAAATGCATCTTAACACTATTGTACACTTAGATGAATTCCTCAGTGTCTGATTTTCTAGTACTTTCAATTTCCTACAGTGTTTCAGTATTAGCTTCTGAAAGTAAAACAATCTCCAATTCCTAGAAAAAGGTGGATTCTTCCATTGCTATGGTAATGAATAACCATTACAACCAGTTGGAAACAGTTAAACTGAACTCAACCAATTAATAATGACTCATCTAGGTCTAAATGATCAGTGACAACTCATTCCAGTAAATACACCTCTGAAAGCCAACTAATCAGCCAGTCTTGTGCCAATCAGTGGCAGACTCACTCCTGTGAAGTGCATCTGAAGGCCAGCCAATCAGTAACAGTCACTTTCAAATAGGTGCTTCTGAGCTTATGTCAACTCGGAAATAAGTCCTGACTTTAAAAGCACTAAAAAAATTTGCAACTACTTTGCATGGAAAGAATGTGCCTAAAATCTTGGGAGGTTGAGGCAGGAGAACTGCAAGTTCAAGGCCAACCTGGGCAACTTAGAAAAAGAAAAAGAGGGGGCAAAAAAAAGGATTGGGGACATAGCTCTATAGTAGAGTACTTGTCTAGCATGTGTTAGGCCCTGGGTTAGATTCCCAGTACTGAGTGGGAAAAAAAAAAGAATGCATAACTCTTCATAGTTAAGAAATATATTTAGCATTTTGTTTCAGATAACAGGGATGGGGTTTTCTTTTTTTTTTTTTTTAAATTTTTTATTGTTGGCTGTTCAAAACATTACATAGTTCTTGATATATCATATTTCACACTTTGATTCAAGTGGGTTATGAGCTCCCATTTTTACCCCATATACAGATTGCAGAATCACATCAGTTACACATCCATTGATTTACATATTGCCATACTAGTGTCTGTTGTGTTCTGCTGCCTTTCCTATCCTCTACTATCCCCCCTCCCCTCCCCTCCCCTCCCCTCTTCTCTCTCTGCCCCCTCTACTGACATTCATTTGTCCCCCTTGTATTATTTTTCCCTTTCCCCTCACTTCCTCTTGTATGTACTTTTGTATAACTCTGAGGATCTCCTTCCATTTCCATGCAATTTCCCTTCTCTCTCCCTTTCCCTCCCACCTCTCATCCCTGTTTAATGTTAATCTTCTTCTCATGCTCTTCGACCCTACTCTGTTCTTAGTTACTCTCCTTATATCAAAGAAGACATTTGGCATTTGTTTTTTAGGGATTGGCTAGCTTCACTTAGCATAATCTGCTCTAATGCCATCCATTTCCCTGTAAATTCTATGATTTTGTCATTTTTTAATGCAGAGTAATACTCCATTGTGTATAAATGCCACATTTTTTTTATCGATTCATCTATTGAAGGGCATCTAGGTTGGTTCCACAGTCTTGCTATTGTGAATTGTGCTGCTATGAACATCGATGTAGCAGTGTCCCTGTAGCATACTCTTTTTAGGTCTTTAGGGAATAGACCGAGAAGGGGAATAGCTGGGTCAAATGGTGGCTCCATTCCCAGCTTTCCAAGAAATCTCCATACTGCTTTCCAAATTGGCTGCACCAATCTGCAGTCCCACCAGCAATGTACAAGTGTACCCTTTTCAGGGATGGGGTTTTCTACAACACTTCTTACAATCTATACTGCATTCCCTACAAAGTATGAAGTGTATTACTACCAAAGGGAAACAAGTTTAGAAGAGTGCCAAGACTGTCCTGTGAAGGTCCTTTACCAGACATCAGGGGAGCCCAAACTCCTATGTTGCATTTCAGTAAGTTCTTTGTAGCTTTCCAAGTTCTTAAAGGTGCTGTTGGTATTTAGGCCAACATCAGGAAGTTGCTGGAATCACACGGTGTTTAAAAGAGTTTTATTCAATACTGGTATTAAAAAACCCTATTATCCGAGTGAACTTATTAATACCTTTCCACATATAGATCTTTCTGTTTTAAAAATGATCCCATTCTCTGCACCAACATATAGATTTTTCTGAAATACTCATTTCTAGCAGAAACTTCCATGCTTCAAAAATGACTTTACCAGACTTAGTCGATTGAAAACATACAAAGGCACCTTCCTCCTTTCTATGCCATAAGAGTATCTGCAGCTATTGGATTTAGCTGGCTCTGGTATGAGAAATGAAATTAAGACACGTGAACAACAGCCTAAAGTCTACAAGAAGAAACAGATTTTCTTATAAACTTGAAAAAACAGAAAGTCGTAAATTAAAGGAGCTGTCTGTTTCAACTGTTTGTTTCATACACCACTGTACTAAACAAATCCAACATTTTGATTAATAACAAACCTAATCCCAAAGGAAAGAAGGAGCTATCAGTTTACAAACTACTTCAGATTAATATCATAATACTTAGCATGGATGGTTACTCAGCAATAATATTTAATAGGAATAAAAGCATAGTCAAAATGCTTCACCCATTTATCTTTCAACATGCTTTGGTCACTTCATCTAAAAAAGGCAAACAAAACAGTTATTATGATTTTCAGCATAGAAACTCCTGACCTACATGCCTCCATAAATCATAGACTGAAGGAATTGAAAGCATGCCCACACTTCATGGTCTCCTTTGAGGATTTGCATGAAGCCTGAGAACACAGACTTAATTCGAGTACAAGGGTCTGGTAGTTTACAATCTTGTATGTCCTAATAACAATACTATCCACTCTGTGGTGGTCATAGAATTGATCTAATAAAGGCAGTGAATTCTTTGGAATTAATTACACACTAATTATTTACACATAAATATTTTAGAACTTGCTCAATTTCTGAAGGCAAAGACAAAAATTTAGTTCTGATTAATAAATATTTTAACACAGGTTCAGAGTCTCAAAAACATTGACCATAGTGTGTTTCAGAAAGAAGGAGACTTACTACTTACTTAGAGGTTGTAAGTTTTTCTTTTTCTTGATATGGAACTGAAAAATTATAAACAAAAGTAAACAATTTTTCATTCCTCACTCAACTTTGAAATAGATTATGATTATAATTAATATCAATGGGGAATGAAAAAGGGGACCTGATTCTCAGACATACAGTAAACATCCCAATATAGAATTCCAGTATTAGCAATTCACTTGATTGATATGCATTTATTTATGCTGATATAATGTAACAGCTCTCTGTTCATAGGGAATATACCACTCCATCTCATTTCCAAGTCATCATAATTTAGGAACATTTTTTCCCTTTTGAAAGAAACTTTAATATTTATGATCTTTATTGCAGGTATCCTAATTGTTCTACATTTGTACTATTGCTCCCTTCCCAAATTCTTCCAAAAGCTCTAAAAATAATATTTCTAATAAGTTTCTTTTATAGCATTTCTTTCAATGGGAATAACTGGCTATTATATTATACTGAAATACTTCAGTTTGATCCTTAAAACTTTCTAACAACTGGTTGCTTCCTATCTCACCAAACTTACTTTGTTTCTTTTCATTAACTCTCACCATTTAGTAATTGCTTGTTTACTGAATTGTGAACAGATTGTCAGTTGTCTGAGATGGTCTGAGCCTTGTTCATAGATATATT